TTTAATAGATGATTTGGGCTGTTCAATATATAGGATCATGCCTGACTCGTTTCACTCAATATTATTCTCTCAAGGTCCATCCATGTTGTTGCAAATGGCAGTATTTCATTCGTTTTTATAGCTGAGTAGTATTCCATTGTGTAGATATACCACATTTTCCGTATCCACTCATCCGATGATGGACATTTGGGCTGATTCCAGCTCTTGGCTATTGTAAAGAGTGCTGCAATGGAATTCATTTTTGAAGTATTTTCCATTGTAGAGTAAATTCAACATGTGTTTCCTAAAGCGGGCTATGTGCCAGGCACTGTGCTATAAGCATTGTGGGGAATACTGTAGTGAATGATATCCTTTTGGCTTCTGGGAGGGTGAGTCATCATGTAGTAGGGGCAGTAACTCTAACACAGAGCAGCCTATGATAAGTTCTGCATTTTTGAGGATTGCCGTTTTCACTAAATCAGACTTTTCAATAGGATGATGGAAGAATGCACTGCCTTGAGAAATTGTTGTGATGGGAAAACATTTTCATTAAGAATACTGGTATCTCTATAGCTCTGTTGCCAGGAGTTGATTCTTCTAACTTGATCAAACTGGCATTGTACGAAGAGGCTTCAGGGATTCCCTCCCTTCGACCCACCCCCCTTCAGTTCACTCCTATATTTGGTTAGGGAATGTTGCGGCTTTGTTGCAGCAGTACAATGTGTCTTATGACTATTTTGATGCATGTTTGCAATTGAGAATGCAGTTTGTTTGGTTTGGATGAGGGATTGGACTCTGAAAGTGGGTTTCATTTACCGGTGTGTCTTTATTTTTCTTGTCTAATTATAGTGCTTTCTTCTGAGATCCTCAAAGTGTGGCCTGTGGTGGTGTAAATGTGTCCATTTGTTTAAGATATTTAATTAAACTCATGGATCATTTCTGAGGCAGCAGTAATCTGCCCATTTATTCAACTCATTGTACTGTGACATGCTGGATAGGATGGTGGTTCATAGGGCTTTCGCTCTGACAGAAATACTTACGAACAGAAAAAATACGTTGACGTTCCTTGAGAGAATTTAAAGCATAGTCTTAACAATACCTTACATGTTTTGGCTGTTTATAATAGGTAAAACACTTAAACACTTATCTTATATGATTTCCTGAGAATTCTATTAAATAGGTAGGGTAAGCAGCATGTGTCTGTGCCTGGAGACTTGGGATCAAACCTTTGCACTATTGTTACTAGCTAGAAAACCTAGTAACCTTTTAAAGCCTGTTCTCCATTTATGAAAGGTGAATTGTAATAGCTGTTCTTAAGATGGAGCTTTAGTTGAGGCTTAAAACAACATGAGAATATATTTACAATTTTTCTTCACTTTGTCTGTGCCCTCCTGTGATATTGTAGGGTATATTTGGTCTTCGTTCTCATTTCCTGGCATACAACTCCTAAAATCCTTAGAATCTCCAAAGTGCTGTCTATTTGTATGCTAATAAGTTGACTGTTGGCTGACAGCCCCTAGGTAGCTTCAGGATAAGGGCTGGTCACTGGAAAGACCAAGGCAATATTAGAGGGTTGGGACTTTCAGCCCTATCCCCCAACCTCTGGGGATGGAATAGGGGCTGAAGGTTAAGTAGATCACCAATAGCCAATGATTTAATCAATCATGCCTACGTAATGAAGCCTCTGTAAAAACCCAAAAGGACTGGGTTCAGAATGCTTTTGAATAGCTGAACACATGGAGAGCCTGGAGGGCGACACTCCCAGGAGGGCCCGGAAGCTCTGTGTCCCTTCCCCCCGTACCTTACCCTGTGCATCTTTTCATCTGTATCCTTTGTAACGTCCTTTATAATAAACTGGTAAAAGTTTAAGTAGTATTTCTCTGAGTTCTGTGAGCCGCTCTAGCAAATTTATCTAACCCGAGGAGGAGGTTGGGAGCCCTGGATTTGTAGCTGGTGCATCCGAAATTCCAAAGGCCTGGACTTAGAACTGGCATCAGAAGTAGGGACAGTCTTTGGGACTGAGCCCTTAACTTGAGAGGTCTGATGCAATCTCCAGGTAGTGTCATAATAGATTTGAATTAGAAGACACCAAGCTAATGTCCACTGCAGAACTGATCGTTTGCTTAGTGTATGGGGAAACCCCCCTCCACCCACAGACTTCTGTGTTGATGGTTATTGAGTGAGAGTATGTAAAAGCACTTTGTTTTGTTTATTTTGTATTCCCACCTCCCAATTTATCATGTGAAGAAACTTATTCTTCGAGATGGTAAGAGACACATCTTACCATCTCTAAAATAGCTAGTTAGTGACATCCAGAATCAGGTCTTCTGACTCGAAGGTCTGAGTTTTTTCCCATTGAACTAAACTCTTTCTGTTGGCATAATATCAACTGATTGTTGAAATGGAA